GCTTAAGCCGAATCGGCGCAAGTCTCTGGTGTATGGTAGTGATTCTGCTGGCAGCAGTTTGTGCAGTTGTTTCTATATTTTCAATTCACAATAACTCTGAAAAATTAACTTAATAATTCACAATAGTTGCAGCATTGCCAGTTGTAAAAAACACGTTATATTTCAAAAACAAACAACATTGAACTAAATTTTTAATAGAATTTTTCCAAACACATTCATGAAACACGTGTGCAAACTTGCACATTTGCACAAATGGTTATATGTATTATTTAGAAGAGAAAATTTAGATTAAAATGATCAGTCCAAATAGACGATCAAATGTATCAGTGTTGTGGAAGTAAAATCCCTTACAACTTGCGAAAAATTCAATTTAAAATGCACAGTTTTCGAGGCTTTTGAACGTTTATATGACAGTTTAGACATAATAGATTTTTGTAGAGAATTGACTCCATTTGATAATTTTTTTTTCAATATTTGGCAATAAATTTTCCTGTATTTTTTCAAAATGGAAGTTTTTGTTGTATTTTTTTTTTGTTCAAAATAAAATTTAAGAATTTTGTGATTACTTAGTGGGATGCGAGTGGGATACATATATAAAAAATATTTTAACTCCAAACTCCTTTTTGAAAGTACGGCAGTTCTTAACCGATTGAGCTGAAAATGTGTGTCTGATCTACTATCCAATAGTACTAACCTTAGTACAAATTTCGATTCAAAATCGATTTTTTGAGTTGGGTCATTTGACATGAAATTCGTCGTATGTATATTTCTGTGTTTATCGAGTCTGATGACACAAATTATTGGCTTCTTTTGCCACAACTACATCAGAATCTTAAAAATCTGAAGTTGCGAAGTCTGCAAGTACATGGTTTCATCATCCATCACACAACAACTTTTTCTTTATAAAATGTGACGTACATTTTTTCGCTAGTTTTCTTCTTCTAGTTATTTCGCAGTCTCATTATATCATCTTTGCGGGTTTATTATTCAATAATCGTGAAAAATGATATACTGTTACTGTGTCCAGTTCAAAGTCCCGACCAGAATAAGCAGTCTTCTTTATATTTATTGGAGAAGAATTAATTTCTCTGTAGAATTGCGATCAAATGCACACGTCACAAATCCTTAAAAATGGCTTAATCCACAAAGTTATCAAGCCCAATGTTCTGGCCTCAATCCGATTCAGATTTTGTGGTGAATCCTTAAGAGAGGGTTAAGATAATGTCGAGTAACCCCAAAAAATTTGGAGAAGCTTTGGCTGTAGTTTTAGCGCAATTGTAAAAGTATTCCAAATAAAGTAATGAAAAATGCTTAAACTTGAGTTCATGTAAGTTTTTTAACTTATTATTTTAACACGTTGATAACATTGGAGGCAAGCACTTCATTCTAGGGTTCTATAGTTGAAACGAAAAGTCGACTTTTCGACTTTTTTCATTTAGTTAAAAGTCGACTTTTTGCATTTTATGAAAAGTCGATTTTTCGACTCTTTTCATTTAATTAAAAGTCTACTTTTAGACTTTTCGACTAAAAGTATTTTATAAATAGTCGACTTTTCGATTTTTTTCGACTTTTCGAAATTTTTCGATTTTTCGACTTTTTCCGACTTTTCGATTTTTTTCGACTTTTTGTCGACCATTTTAGAGTTTTTGACTTTTTTTCGACTTCGACTTTTTTCGACAAAAAGTCGATTGATCGATTATTCGAAAGTCGATTTATAGAACCCTACTTCATTCATTCGGTCATTCAAAAACGCAGTTTAAAAGTTGTTGTAAGTTGTAAGCAAGAAAAATAAAATTGCTGACGCAGGATAATCCACAAGCAGCCTTTATTTTTTAGAATTGACCAGACAAACAGGTCCGAGGATTTACTTTGAAAACCCAGAAACCGAATTATATTACCGTCTACATAATCGCAACACTAGCATCCAGGCCGAAGTCCGTGCAATAACAGACTGTGTAATCTGGGCCGAATTACAGCATACGCGATCGAATTAACATTCGTATCGAACCCCCATTCCGACATCAAAAATGAGGTAAAATTTCTTGTTGGATATCGAATGCCATCATGTAGTGCATTGTGTTGGAACTAGGAAAATAGGTTGTTGGAGGGAGGATGGAGGTTGTAATGTTTGTTTACATTTGATTTATTGAATGCTTCTTTCGACACTTGAAAAATATGTTTAGTCCATCTGACATCGCATTGTATTCTCATGTCAATATGAATGGTAGATATTGCTGTCATCGGCGATAGAGTAGATAGGATTAGAAGTTTGGTAAAGAAGGTTGTTTATGAGCTCGTTAGATAAAATCCCATCTATAATAACTCGTATGTTGAGATCTCCGAGAAAGCTCGATATATATATCGAGACAAATTATTACCAACTCCAAAAGCAATTAGTTTTGTTAGAAGTGCACTATGCCACACCCTATCAAATGCCTTGGGAATATCCAGAGCCACCACTTTACTTTCGCCAAAATGGAGAATCGAGTGACACCATTCTTCTGATACGAAGGCTACCTCTACGAAAGCCATACAGCCGGTCACTAAATAAATCGTTGAACTTGACGAGATGAAAATTTACCATTCTTTTCATGACTAATTGCAATTGCACGGTAATTATTAGGGTTGTTAGACTCTCCATTTTTAGGAATAGGCGTAGCATTATCCAGCATACAGGATATTTGCCGACATGGTGTATATTATGCTGAAAAGATTGGCTAATGGACGAGCTAGTAGCGAAGAATAGTGTTTTAAGACCAGTGCCGGTATATCATCTGCTCCAGGAGACTTGTTTATGTTAAGATCCACTAAAACCCTTTTAACTGCACGCGTTCGAAAGAATATTTTTGGCATAGTTACTGATATCCTTTCGAGCACGAGCAGTGGTTGATTGCTTTCGGCAAGCAAAAATTACTTGCGAATATTTCAGTTAAAAGTTTAGCTGTATCAACCTTGTCAGTGAATGTTATGTCGCCCTTGAAAAGTGTAGAAATTATGGATTTAGCATTATCCTTTACACTTATAACGAACGACCAAAAGATTTTACTGCCCCGAGGAACAGTAAGAACCTCAGCACGAAGGTGCTGCTTCTGTAGAGCTTTTAGCGAATTAAGATCTCGCCATTTTGCGCAGAAAAACATATTTACTGACAGCCAGCAGCCGATTAGATGATAAGGTCAAAGGTCGAATACTCTTTCGGATTAAAGCTTTACATTACAGAGGTACGGTGGCACCTGGAAATAATCGGCTACGATGGATATATTAAAGCAATTTATTGATGGGGAAAATATGGACCCATATGTGGATTTATGTGTTCAAAAGCTCACAAGCTTTATATGGACGGCCAGAACATAGCTCAAGAAAAAATTCGTTAGACACGATGAAAAACTTACTTTTTGAAATAGAATTTATATGGGGGTTAGTGAAATGATGAAAATTTATATAAAAGCGTGATACTAGTATTTGGATGTTCAAATCGGCAGTATTATTTAAGGGCCCTTCAGACGATCACACTTTTCTAATGAAAAAGTAAAATAAAATTCCATCCGTATGACAAAAAAGAAAATAAAAGTAGTTTGATTTATATTTTTCGTGTTTACACGATTGGTATAAAACAATAACAAAGTAAAATGGCTGTTTCCCTTTTTTTGTGTGTGTTTACATAAAAATACATCCCTGATCTAATGCGACTTGCTTGTTTTTTGAATCATTTTAAAAAAGAGAGCCATACAACTGTCAAATTTTCCATCCGTATTTTCTCTCAATGTGTGATAGTTTCATTACATATTGCGTTTAGACGATCCCATCCGTTCTCCTCTGCACAAAATTTTGACAGATCATATTACATGTGTGTTCGTGTTAAAGGGGCTTTAGAATAATACAAATTTTCTGCTGCAAAGTCATAATTTCCTGCTGCAAGGCAATATTCGGGAGTCCTCTTATATAATAGACTATATTGGAATTGGCTTCGTATTTAGAATAAATAGGCTTATGATTCCAATTTCATTAGAATATTTTTAAAATTGCGAACGGTACCTTGTGCATAAGGTTTACAAGGACCAGATGTAGGGACACATATTGCTATATAACGATTGCGAAAATGATTCTGAGTCGATCGGTATATTTTAAGTTTAATATCAATATGTACATTACAATCTTCAACACAAACATACACTGTGTCTTTTCCAGTAGGTGTGTGGCCTCCGGTACGTTCGTAGTTAGTGCTCTAGACTGTTAGACCGAAGGTCGTGAGTTCGATTACCATGTGAGGCACTGGAAAGTGAGCGCATAACAGGCTTTTAAACTAACTAACTAATCCACTATAGAGGTGCAGAGTATAAAAACTTATTATGTATTGGATTATATGAACGTTACAAACATTAGAACAAACTTATAACATCTTCCACTACTACTGTGGTGTCGTGAAAATAAAATCTCATTATTTTTTTGATGAAAGCTGTAAATTATTCATTTATAAAAAAGGAGAGAAAGTATATTTTATGAACTGTGTTGAACCGGTTTAATAAAATGTTAACCTGGTTAATATGACAGACCCGTTTAGTAAGGGTGAGTTTTTTTATGTGAAATAATAACTTATTTACTTTTAACAAATTTCCTAGGCAATCTATCCTTTTTTGTTGAGTGTAATTAATGTTGTTTCCCTTTATTTTGTTTGCACGTGTTTATTTTTGTGCCTTGTCTTTGCTTTCATTATCCTTAAAACCATGTGGACGAAATAAAAGCAAAATAAAGCTTTTTTCTTGTTACAAATATTTTGACGTTTATAGAATAAAGCGCATACGCATACAAGTACAATAAGCTTTTTATTGTTTTTTCAAAATTTTCGTATTTCATTAAATGATTCGATTCAAAAATGTTTCTGCAAACACATACATAAATAAAAACACTTTTACAAACAAACGAATACGAATAAAGTTTCACCCTTTGCGGTTCATATATTAGAACCAACTAACTTATACACGGCGAATTTTCTTTCACAGCACAATATGAATCAGTTTATAACGGAAAGTTCTAAGCGCCGGTAGTCTACTAAATAATAAACGCAGTGTTTCAATTGAAAAAATAATTTTGAAGAAAAAAAAAAAAACAACAAAAACATATAATATAGAAATAAAAAAATTGAAATATTAATAAAACATTTGTTGGCGAATATTAAATATATTTACATGCAAAAAAACGGTTGAGAAAATTATATTGTAAACAAAGGTATTTTATTTGTAATATCTAAATCTGTGAGTGTGTTTAAGTTTTCTTTTACTTTAAGTGAAAAAATTAAAGTTTGTGTTTTTTTTCGCTGAATGGAGTATTAAGGAAAGGAAACTTAAGAAAATATATAATCAACATTTTTACGAGTACACCTCGTCATCTATAATCAAGCAACTTTATATGGGAGCAAAACTACCCTTACAACGACTGGAAAAAAGTTCGTATTAAAGAAAATTTTCAAAAAAATATAAAAAAGAGTGTATGTGTGTTTAGTTTTTATTCAAAATTTTGTGTAAGAGAGAATAGTGTGTGTTGAAATATTACAAAAGGACTTTTTTTAAATAAAAATTAAAAATATAAAAATAACTTTTACTTAAAAAACAACTTTAAGCTTTTAAAAATAAATATATTCCCTAAGAGTATGTGATTTTGTTTAAATCATTTATTGTATAATTGCAAAATAAATTATTCCAAAAAAATTACCTAAACCTCTACATATAATATTAGTAGTGTCTGTGTGTGCGTGCGTGGGGAAGCCTCAATTGCCAAACTGATTAACTCCATTTACTAAAATTTTAAATAAATAAATATAGCTATTTAATATATAATATATTTACTTAAAACCTAAATACACTATTTTATACTAAACTTGTAGTTTTATGTAATTATTAAACAAAATTCATAAATAGAGTTAATCATTTTGGTAAATAAAGCATTTATGTCTGCATTTGTTTAAATACGGAAAATAATTATACAAGAATTTTTATTATCGCAAACGTCATTAAAAATTTTAGTAGTTTTTTTTCAGTTTTGTTTAAACAATTTAATTTTATTGTTAATGCAGTTTTTTTAGTTTATTTGTATATTTGTTCGGTTTTTTGCTCTCTTCTAGTCTGTCTCGCTCTCTGTGTACTTTATTTTAACAACATTTTTTAAAACTTTTTTTTTTTTTAACAAAAAAAAAAAGCCAACATTGTATTTTTTTTACATATTTGTACATACATATGTACATACATTTGTACTTATTTTAACAATTTACAATAAATATTTTAAAATTTTACAATAAAATTTATTTAAATGAACTTAAAATTGTGAAATTATTGCAAAAATATTGCATGCTTAAGAGACCCCAAAAAAACTAAACGTACATACAATTTTCCAATAATTTATTTTACGTTTTGCACTTGAAAATAAATTTGTTACAAAAATAGACAATAAACATTTTGTATGTAAATAAAATACATTAATTTTCTAAGAACCAAAAAAAAAAGGAAAATCTTTTTTAAAAAAAAAATTGAAAAATTGCACATTTTTAACAGAAACGAGAAAAAACAACAACATATGCACAAACCTCTCTAAAAATTTTCGGTAATTAGGGTGGAGCAGGAGGGTGGTCTGTTTACATCATGCTCATCATCATTTACATACATATGTACATATATTCACATTTACAATATACAAAGTTGTTTCGTAAATTTACAGTTGAAAATGAAAATATTGATATACACTTGAAGAAATTTTATATAGAGTAAATAATTTAGACAAAACTTAAAATCGTTTATGCCAAATCATATATTCTCACTGCCAAAACTTCCGGCTTAAATTTTTACCTTTTCGAGGGTGAATGGATGGACAATTTATTCTAACATTTACCTTTTTCATCAACTAGGATCATTTATAATCATATATTTTGATTCGAACCTTTCAACGGTTAAAAAATTGTGGCAAAATAGGACATATTTAAAGCTAATTCTTGCTTTGCAGCCTTCTTCTGATTAACAAAAAGTCGAAAACCAGAGATCTTAGTATACTTCTCTAAAGGAAGGAGCTTTGTTGAATCTGAATCTCGTTTTCAAGATATCATGTTCTAAAATAAAAAAAAACGCCTTTAAAGACTTTATTAAGTTATCTGAAAGTCCAATCTGTCGACTTTAAAACAAAAGTTTATATTCTCTTGTATCTTCCATCTTCTTCGAGATATCTTAATCTAAAATTTCAAAAGAACTATAGATTCCAACAAAAACTTCAACGGATGATAACTTAGCAATGTATTATTATTCCAAGCTTAAGAAAGTAGGATATAAGTATAAAAGAGATTAGACCTTTATTTTAAAGTTGGGTGATTCTACTTTCAGATCCAAAACAGATTATATAAAAAAGCAGTATTCGTGCTATTATAACACTTTAAATATGTTAAGGGCACGATATCTAGCTCAATATGATAGATAAACTATGTGTGAGCGAAGTCTAAACTATTTGAAAAGCCCTTAGTTATTTGCTTTACGTGAGTACCTGTCGATTAGACCTTAACTCACGTCTCACCACCTCTACTTTGTGACTTGCAAAGAACACACAGGTGGCTATTTTTGAATATAGCGGACATGCTCAGATTCTTATGTTATCTGATCTCTGAAAATTGCAGTCCATACCTGAAGCCTTCCTCGACAACACACACATAATCCCACTACTGAGATGGTTCCTATTGTTTCGGTAACCGTACCTTGAGACGTATTTGGTAGACAGAAGTACGATCTTCATTAACAATACATTCTAGTTCCCAGACTAGAGGTACTGGTAGCAAATCTATTCTCAGGAATTGTAACAACTCAAAGGAGTTGCAGGATAATGCTTCCTTACACACATAGAAGACACTGTGATTAGTCCATCACAACCACTTTGTGGACCTGAATCCAAATAACTGCTAGAACGTTTTGACTCCTCCAGTTTCTAGTCCTCAGCCTAGAGATACTGGTAGAACATATATTATCCGGTATTACAATAACTCCAAGTTAATGGCTGTTCACCAAGATATCGTGCCGTGGGAATCATGTGAAAGAAGAAGATGTGGAAGTGCCATCTTCTGAACCTTTTCAACTACAGCGTTAGCTATAAACGAACCACCACCGCCCCCTTGTGATTCCTAAGGGACACTCATGTAGCAATTTTCGTAAATGGGTCTGTGGGCCCATGTACAAGCACTTTGCTCTTCGCGCTATCTAATCTCTTAGCATTGCTGCACCGTTGCGTAACTTCTGATATGGAAAAACTTCCGTTTACAACCACGCAGATGAAATGGCCTCTGTTGATTCGGGAACTGCATATTCAGAGGTAATCGGTCGATAGATTTACGGTCCTATCAAATAAGTCAAAGGCACTGTGGTAAGTCTGAAATTAAGAGAGTAAGCCCTGAACATTATAAGAGAGTAAACCCTTAACAAGAAGGAAAATTCTATGGTGTATCTTGTATAAGATACCGTACATCCATCACCATTGAACCTAGCAGACTTCTCATTTACTGATACATTTATTTGAGAAAAAATCAGACACATTTATTTTAAGTATACCGAAGTACCCACATATTCTTCCCAACACTTAGTCACTTCTCTGAGAGGTATCCCGAAATATAACTAAATTTCACCGCATCGGTCTTTTAACCAACATTCTCTTCCCTCGATTTTCTGTTTAACCCACAGTCACCAGGTGTACCCCGAAAGAACCTCTCCAATAAATGGGATATATGGCAAAGTCCGAAACTCTGTCCTTGCGGTTTTCGTAGTACCAATACGGTAATGATTTAACCTGTTTTTATCCCAGGTCAATTCGTTCTAAAGAAAGGCCGAGGATACATTTGAATCCAAAAGTCCTGGCAAACTAGAAGTACTGGTAGCACCCCTGTACTTCGGGACTGCATTAATAATAATAATAACAAGATAACATGTTCCGAGGGATGTGCAAGTGCAGTTCGTTTCCTGTATTTTCAATTCAATACCCAATATTTTAATACTCAATATCGTAAAAAATGATTTAGCTTAGTTCCGACCTTTAGTCGAATCTCAGAAAGGTTTCAATTCTAAATAATCCCCCATATTACGAGTGTCGTTGTCGTAGGCGAAATCGTTGTCGCAGACGTTTTTTATTTCAAATTTTGACAAAGTCAATATAAAATGCATAGGAATTTAAGTCTTTTTCGATATTCGTAATACCATTTTAACAAAACGACTCATATTCGACTACGACAACGCCTCTCGTAATAAGGCCGAATAGTTTGTAAAAAAATATTTCAAACAAATAAATTTCTTTAAGTGTATTCACAGCATGGAGCAGATAAAGATGTAAAAGACACAAAATTCTGGTACAGAAATCAAAGAGTGGCAGAAAGAGAGAGAGAGAGAGCGTTGGATGAAGACATGACGAAACTAGTACAATGTACCATGAATTTGGATGCCTCTAAATTTTGTATGAGACAGTATGTGTTTTTTGGATATCTGAGTATATGCGAAGGTTTTTGTTCATGTTAGTGTCAAAGTCTTTCATAATGATGATGACATTAGGGATGATGTGTACCGAGTTGTTGTTTCATGTTGATGGTATGGTGGTGGGGATTATGAATATGCTGCTCCTGCGTATTGACACTAGTGTTCTTTCTGTCCATACTGCAGTGAGGCTGGCAATGGCATTGGATCTATTTATGAGTATTTCCACTTTTCATTTTGCTACATTACATTCTGCTCCACAATTGAAAGAGTGGACAGACAGGGTTATACTATACACTAACATTCTTATACATTTATCCATGTGAATGTTTTGCAGTGTATGGGTGTGTTTGTTGTTGATGTCTGCGTGCGAATGTTCTTTCTATGTTTTTTGTTTGTTTGTGTGTTGAGCTTACCTTCCTTCCTAGTTGGCATGTAAGATTTTGCCATGGCCTTACACTCTCTCTCTTGACTTCAGTGTGATTTTTATACTTTTGGCAGAAAATCAATTTTTTTTTATTTTGTGTGAGTGTGTAAACGTTTGTTTTATGTTTTCCCAAAAAAAAAAACACAAAATTATTATTTATTAAAAATTGCAAATATGAAAATTACAACAATTCATTAGCATTTTTCTCCTCTTCTTTATTTTCTATGTCACATGTCATTTAAATAAAGGGGCTACAAAGTAGTGGAAGGGGGGAAAACATACACGTGTTTGCTTGTGTGTTATTTGAGAGCAACTCAAGTAAATGTTGATAAAAATTAAAATGTTCATTTTTATTTTTGCAATTTGAATTTTTATAATATTTTTCCCAGTTCTGTTTATCTTTAAATTAAATCTCAAAATGGTAAAAATCTTCAAATTGATTTGTTTGAAAATTGTTCAGAAATATAAAGAAACAAATATTTCAAACGTATAAATAAACAATAAAATTTTAGGCATTGCCAAAATTTTTGTTTATTG